CCAATCATCTTCACCAATGCCTTGCTGTAGTGTTGGGTGGTTGATTTTGGGCGGCTTCTGTCATGTGTCCCTGGTGTCATGCACATTCTTCTGATGTAGCTGCATCAGTGCAATGCATGTCGGCATGTCCTCTGCTGTCTTCACCACTGTACATCCTGCCGCCTCACAGCTCAATGAGACTGCCATCACCACCAGGTATGCCTGGACAGGCTACCACACCAGCTCCATAACCCATGTAGTATGTAAGTTAATGCCTAGGAGCATGGTCAAAGAGACATTCGGGTGCGTGTTGGTAATCCGTTATTCAGGTACATCATAATGAATGCTCCTAGCTACAAAGAGACAAGACACACAAATTAGAATGCACAACCTGACGTTGTGAGTACACGTTGTACCTCCTAGCCCTGATATATCATTGACTGGCACAGTATGGACAGCCAAATACGTAACTTTTAACTTATGTATTAGGGAGGTAATATGTGTTCCGTCGGCCTCACGCTCTCTTTGTTTACACTCACGTTCTCTGCCTCACCTACAGGCGGTGCACCGACACCGCCACCTGCCGAATTTGACTCTGTGTCACCCCATCTCCATCCCACAGACACCAGAAACAGAGCTCTCTGGACAGGTTTTTTGGATGACAGGGTTCAAGTGCCAGTTAAAGACAAAGAAGGGAAGTAACCCCAGAGAGGGACTTGATAACTGAGGTCCTTATTGAGGGGGATTCCCCTTCCAAACAATAACCCCCAACTCCCTCTCCCCCCTTGCCTTCTTCCATATGCCAACAAGAGTCTTCAATAAAAATATGTAATGTTTATATTTATTTAGCATTGTTTCCTGTATAAAAAACTATAGTTATTCTTTAAAAAATGAAATTTTTGTGAATATTTTTGGGTGTCTGGAACGGATTAATTGTATTTACATTATTTCTTATGGGAAATATTGCTTCAGCTTTTGCACTTTTTGGACTTAGAACGACCTTCTGGAATGGTCTAACCCCTTAACTGTCCAAATGTAGATCTACATTCTTACCGCTAGTGCTTCAAATGTAGATCTATGTTTTATATTTTCTGCCTCCGAACTTGGCACAATTGGCCTAAGATGCCTGGTCAGCATAGAATGGGTCTTAACCCTCGGTGTGCACTATATTAAAAAAATCTGGGAACATTTAGTACCATGTGGGAGCACCAGTTCAATTGAGAGCCAGCTAGAGCAAACAGCATGGTAAACACCAAGGATGCACTGATGTCATGTCGTATCAACACAACCCTTTTAAGAGGAAAGTGTCATCTTGCCAGAAAGTCCTATAACCTATGTGTGGGGGATTCATAAGGCTACCTGTATGAACCTAGTCATCGCATTCATACAGATAATCTCATTGGGAGGCGATAGCCATATATTGTTTACAGTAGTTACTTCATGTAGATGTGTGAGAAAACTTAAGCCACTCCTGGTTGCACCAAGCGACTCCTTCGACCTCACACACCCTAGGCACATCTATATTAGGCCAGTATTATAGATTAAAGTTGGATAGCACCAATAAGTACAGTGCTACCATTAGTTGTGGACTGTATGGATAAATTGGACTGATTAAAAGAGGGGGGGAAGGGGTTACATGTTAACATAATGAGACCACCACTTACCAGATTTCATTGGTGGTCACTGGAGATCTTTGTAGCACCCACAATACCTGTCCTATGATAACGTACCTAACTAGCCAGTTATTAGTCTGATATAACAAGAAGGTTTACTTAACTGTGGGTGAGGAGGCAGCATTTCTTGTCTTTCCTTATTTCCTTTTCTGATCCAGATGTCCTGCCAAATTGATGTAGTTTTTCTTCCAGCAGGACTATGATACCACTTGGGTTGTCCCGATTTAGGAGACGAGACTCCGTAAAAACTCCGTGGTCCTTGGAATGAGGACACGAGATTTAACATGTGGTCATTCTGGGAATGGTGATTAATATCACTTCACACATTCCCTTAACCCTTTGGGGGTTTTGGCTGTACTAGTACGGCTTATGCCCCAGGGTTTTTGGCGTACTAGTATGCCTAAATTCTAGCACCCTCAAATCTAGTGAGAAAAAGCTGGTAGGCCTACATATGAAAGAATGGGTCTATGTGGTCAGTGTGCGCAGTATAAAAAAAATCCTGCAGCACACAGGGTCATCATCACTTTCATCTTAAAAGGTAAGTGTTACTATGACATGGCATCAATGAATCTCTGGTGTTTGCCACGCTTTTTGCTCTAGCTGGCGCTCAGTTGAACTGGTGCTCTCACAAGGTAGTAAGTGGTTCCAGATTTTTTTAATACTGCGCACACCAAGTGTTAAGACCCATTCTATGCTGACCAGGCATCTGAGGCCAATCATGCCAGATTTGTAAAGGCAGGAAAAATAAAATATTGATCTACATTTGGAGTGCTAGCGGTTAGAACGTAGATCTACATTTGGAGTGCTAGCGGTTAGAACGTAGATCTACATTTCGACAGTTAAGGGGTTAAATGGAGGGTTTATTTACATGTTTCTGCTTCTATGTTTTTCACTGTCATTCTGCACGTGACAGTACAGACGTTTAGTTAAGAGGTACTTTTAAGTGGTTGCCTCAATTTCTAAGTCAAAAGTTTTCTTTTATAACTTGATAATGCTGAAAATTTGACAGTACTGAAAATTTGAGACCAATCAAATAAAATATTGTGAAGATATCTTACAGTCCATAAAAAATTTGAGTTGTAGCTCAGCATCATTAAGAAGTTTAGGGGCTGGAACTTAACCATGTCATTTACCACTACAATTTAAAATCAGTGCTATTAAGCATTGTGGAGGTATGTCCCTAAGAGGCACAGAAGTTGAAATCAACATTGTCAGTCACAGTTAAAATTGAAAAGAATGAGACGAGCCATAGCAAAAATATTTAGTACAGTGCTACATCAACAACAGCAGTAAATAAATGAATTTAACTGCACTTCACTGAGGAGTGCTGATGGCCTGAGAGGAAGGTGGAGAGATGTTATTCTCTGGAAAGTGTTCCACCTTCCATAAAAACATCAGGTAACTGCCCATCTGGTGTTTTTTCTTTTTTCTGTCTCTGTGCAGTAGCACTTGAAGATGATGGGGGATTCACCAGCATTTAATTTTTTTCTTTGCTAAAGAAGCTCTCCAATGTTGTCTGCTCTTAAAGACTTTTCAAAATTTTTCTAAAGTGGTCAACATCATTGTCACTGAACAGGTTGATGCTCTTATTCACAACATTAATATTAGGATGCCAGTTTTTCACCAGGCTCTTTGTTGGAGCTCAGTGGAAACAGTTCCTTAATTTCTGCAGTGGAAATGCTGCTCTTACTCCTCCCCTCCTCTAAAGAAGAAATTTCCTCAACCACTTCTCCTTGCTGCTCCTTGTGCAGGTTTTGATGTTCTTCTGTGGTGAGCTCATTCTTGTGATCCTCCACCAACTCTGTACATCCTCATCGTCTGTTTTGAAACCCATGGGCTAGCCCAGAGAAACAGTATCCTTCACTAGAGGCTCTACCTCAAAGCCTTCAAAATCTCTGACTGATACATCATCTGGCCACAATTTCTTCCAGGCAGAGTTCATTGTCCTACCTGGAGAGGGTTTTGGGGGTCAGCACCCCCGTGGCTCAGTCTGAAATCAGGCCTCATGGTGGATCAGAGTCTGATCAACCAGGCTGTTGCTGCTGGCCACACAAAAACTGACATACGAACCACAGCCCGGCTGGTCAGGTACTGACTTTAGGTTCCTGTCCAGTGCCTTCTTGAAAACACCCAGGGGTCTATTGGTAATCCCCATAATGTATGCTGAGTGTCAGGGGAATGCCTTCCGCCTGATCAGAAATAATGGAAAAATAAATAGTAAACAAATAAACGACTTGAGGAGTAATAAGAAATAACGTTTTTCAAGGGTTTTAATTAAAAATTAAATAAAAAATAAAAATTGGACATTGTTGGTTATGGTACGGTGTTTGGGCAGGAGTGTGTAAGGCCCAGGATGGTTCTCTGATGTTGAAGAAATGGTGTAGGTTATCCTGGGCGGTGGTATCAATCCGATGTTCTGGAATCTCCTGTTGCTACTTAGTTGAAGCACTACAAGTAGGATGTAAAAGGCGAGTAGTTTTAATATCGTACTAGGTCTACTAGACAAGTATCTTGCTCCCTTATCTGGGCATCTACCCTGGATGACCAGGCCAGCAGCAGAGCTGATAAAGAAAATAAACTGGTTACTGAAATTTATGTAAGTACAACATTTAAGAAGGAAAGGGTGGTATGCAATCTAAAAAGTCATTATTGGTAACCATTAATTTGTTGTGGGGTGTAAGATAACAGTAGAATAAATATTTGCAATACTGTGCATAGTACAGGTTGGCCATCACTAATCCGACAATCAGTTATCTGGTTTCATCAGTAATCCGGCACTAATTTTGGATAGCTTAATTTCAGATTTCATCATTATACTGACTCAGAAATTGTGCAGATGGTTGTAAATCTACAGCAGCAAGTCAGTGTAGGAGAAAGCAGTTTCATGAGTAAGATGTAGCAGATAGTCTCTATTAATAGGTTACTTAAGTGTATTCTAACCTAACCACTCTGTAATTCGGCAAGCTCACTAATTTGGCACACTACAAGTCCCGGATTAGTGACGGCCAACCTGTGTTGCCTTAAGGTAGTCGTGTATAACACACTCCATTCAAATTTTCAGCATTTTTTTGTTATTATATAAAATAAGAATATTAGTTATTAATTCACCAAAATACCGCACTTAGGAGAGGAACTATAGGATGATGTTTCAATCCATCCTGGGCATTGTCAAATGACAGCTGAATGAGAATAAGGTAGAAAAGGCCTGAAGACAGACCAGGGAAGGGAGTAGTACTACTACTACTACTACTACTTTACTACTACTACTACTTCTTTTGAGAAATGGGTATTACCTATTTTAAAGTTGTTGGTGAATGAGCAGTGTGTAATGAAGCTTTGAATTGACAGGAATTGGTAGCAGCGGTGCTGAGAGGTCAACTAGAGGATGCCAAGAAGGCTGTCAGGGCTGGTGGTGACCCATGTGTTGTAGTGCCAGATGATGTCACTGGCTGTGAAGGTGGCACCCTGGTGGGAATGGCTGTGGCTAGAGGGCATGCCCACCTAATACCCTTTCTGGTGGAGAGTGGGGCATCTGTGAATGGGGGAGGGTGGAAAGAAGGAACACCCCTGCACCTGGCAGCTGAGTTGGACCAAGAGGAAGCACTGAGAATGCTGCTGCTTCATGGTGCAGACACAGAGGTCACCACCACTGATGAGTTCAGTGAGTGCCACAGTCTTATTTATCTGATTTTAATTTTTTAACACTGACCATCTCTCATCAAGGTAGTGTGGCCCAACAAAGATGAAGACACTTTCAGTGTTACTGATTTAATCACTGTCTTGCAAGAAGGGCACCAACATCATACTTCAGATGACCCTCCAAACCATAACATCCCCCAACCCCCTTCATAGTGCAGGCACTGTACTTCCCACTTCCAGGCTTCATGCTCACACTCCAACAGCACATAAAATCATAAAAACCACTTGCTTCTACTCCTATCTTAACATGCTCACACATGCTCCTAGGATGACCTTTACCCTTATATGTTTTTGGAGTCACCCTATTTTTCTCCACCTCAACAACCCCTCCTTAGCTCTCTTAATAATACTTCTGGTAACTCCACACCTTCTAATCTCCAAACTCTGAATTCTCTGCATAATATTTCACACCACAGATTGCCCATAAGCATTACATCACTGTCTCCAGCCTCCTCACTGCAGCATTCAAAACCCATGCTTCACACCCATACAACAGTGTTGGTACCAATTTACATTACTGAGTTGTCTCCACAGATGCCTCAATGCACCACCTAACTTTTATCTTTCTCCCTCTCTCTTCACATGTCCTCTTCCCAAGGTTTATAAACACCTACTATTGCCAACTTCTCACATACCGTCTTTATTTTAATCCACATAATGCTTAAATTTGTATGCTTATATTCCCCCATTTTCTTACCATAATTTATAACTTCCTATTACTGCTACTCCTTCCTTAGCTCTGATTCTCTCAGATATACCTAACCTAATCCCATTTACACCTCCCCACTGAAATTCTTCTCTCCCCTTTAGCTTTGTTTTGCTTTGAGCTAGGACATCCAGCTTATTTTCATTCAAAACAGTGACAGTAAGAAGATAGGTAATGAACATATGGTACAATTTTAAAAGTATGACTTATTATTATGAATTGATTCAATGATTTTTAGTTTTGTGAGTGATTAGTTAGATATGGTTCAGATACAGGAAGTTATTTAGTTAAAATAGAAATATAATGGGATAAAGGTGTGTAATCAGTTTTCTATGGAATTTGAAATTAAGACACATGCGCAACATCTGGGTATCTTTATTGTAGACATTTTGCATCCAGTGGCTTTATCAATACAAATTCCAGGACATAACTTGAAGACAGTAGAACTATATACAGAAGACAAGGTAATCAGTCCCTCAACCTTGGAGTTGGCACGAAGAGCACCATAGTCGTGGAGATTCTGAAACAGAGGCAAGGAGCCTGGCACTTATATACTAACATCAGGTGGAAAGGGGACGTGTAGCAGACGAGGGCATAGTCACTGGTAAGCGGGATTCCCCAGTAGAGGTAGATCCTACCCAAAGAGATGGGTTAGTAGTAGTTGTCGTAGTCATGAAGGTTGTGTGCATGTCCTCAGAATCAAGATTCCATAATGTTGCAGTGTCTGACAAGTTGTACAAGAATGGTATGCAATATTGACAAGATGAAATTAAGACACATGTGTCTTAATTTCATCTTGTCGGTATTGTATACCATTCTTGTACGACTTGTCAGACATTGCAACATCATGGAATCTTGATTCTGAGGACATGCACATAACCTTCACGACTACAACAACTGCTATTACTACTACTAACCCATCTTTTTGGGTAGGATTTACTTCCACTGGGGAATCCCACAGAGAAGTGTCCTTGGACCCCTGTTCTTCCTCATTTACATCAGTGATCTTCCAAACATATCCCAACACCTGAAACCCATTCTCTTTGCTGACGACACAACTTATGTCATCTCCCACCCTAATCTTGCCACCCTCAACACCATTGTTAACGAGGAGCTGCTCAAAATATCGACTTGGATGACAGCCAATAAACTTATGCTTAACACTGACAAAACCTACTACAGTGGACCCCAGGTTAACGATATTTTTTCACTCCAGAAGTATGTTCAGGTGCCAGTACTGACCGAATTTGTTCCCATAAGGAATATTGTGAAGTAGATTAGTCCATTTCAGACCCCCAAACATACACATACAAACGCACTTACATAAATACACTTACATAATTGGTCGCATTCGGAGGTGATCGTTATGCGGGGGTCCACTGTATATTATGTTTGGTAGCAGAGCAGGTGTTGCGCAACTTGACATTAAGATCGACAACACTCTAATTGCCAGACATAATGAGGGCAAATTCCTTGGCCTATACCTCGACAACAACCTAAATTTCAGCACCCATATCCAACACATAAAAAAAGTATCCAAAACGGTGGGGATCCTCTCCAAGATATGATACTACGTGCCGCAAACTGCCCTTCTCACACTATACCATTCACTTATATATCCATACCTCACCTATGCTATCTGTGCTTGGGGTTCAACTGCAGCAACACACCTAAAGCCAATAATAACCCAACAAAAAGCCGCAGTAAGAATAATCACTAAATCCCATCCCTGGCAACACGCCCCCCATTCTTCATAGATCTAAACTTACTCCCTGTTCAGAACATCCACACTTACTACTATGCAATCTATATCTACAGGATCTTAAATTCCAATATTAACCTTGACCTAAAATGCTTTCTTGATAGTTGTGACAGGATCCACAGGCATAACACCAGACACAAACATCTCTATGACATTCCCCATGTCCGACTAAACCTTTACAAAAACTCAATGTATTTCAAAGGACCTGAAATCTGGAACACCCTACCTGAAAACTCTAGAACTGCAGACACACTCATCGCTTTCAAAACTACAGTTAGAAAACATCTTATCTCCCTGATACACCCTGACAACTAACTACATGATAACCACCTTGTGGTTCACAATTACACTCACTCACCCACTGACTATAAACACAGAAATACTAATCTTAATCTTAAAATAATGAATCCTAACTAGTCATAAGTTTGCCTATGATACTCCAATATAGACACTTTGTATTGTGCTGAAACAAAAGCATTCACATTGCTAAACTCAAAAATTATAATGTAGTCACCTAGCCTTAATACCATAATCTGTAAGGATTTAATGTTAAGAATTAATCTAAGTCTGCCCGAAATGCCTAGCCATGCTAGGTGTCCTAGTGGCCCCCCTCTGTAATTAGTATCTTATAACATGTAAACCACACAATATCCAAATCCTGTATACCCCACATTGTAACCCTTATAGAGAATAAACTTGATTTTATTTGATTTACTAGTGACTATGCCCTCATCTGCTACATGTCCCCTTTCCACCTGATGTTAGTTTATAAGCGCCAGGCTCTTTGCTTCTGCTTCAGAATCTCCACGACTATGGTGCTCTTTGCATCAACTCCAAGGTTGAGGGATTGATTGCCTCATCTTCTGTATATAGTTCTACTGTCTTCAAGTTATGTCCTGGAATTTGTATTGATAAAGCCACTGGATGGCAAAACATCTACAATAAAGATACCCAGATGTTGCACATGTGTCTTAATTTCACATGTGTCCTAATTTCATCTTGTTGGTATTGTATACCATTCTTGTACAACTTTTCTATGGAAGTTGAAGGAAAACTAGAAGAAGAACAGAGACATGGACTGGAAGGAAAACAGAGACATGGACTGGAAAGAAAACAGACATGGACTGGAAAGAAAACAGAGACATGGACTGGAAGGAAAACAGAGACATGGACTGGAAGGAGAACAGAGTCATAGAATGGTAGAACAGAGACATAGACTGGAAGAACAGAGACATAGACTGGAAGGAGAATGGAGACATAGACTGGAAGGATAACAGAAACATAGACTGGAAGGAGAGCAGAGACATAATCTGGAAGGAGAGCAGAGACAGACCGGAAGGAGAACAGAGACATAGACTGGAAGGAAAACAGAGAAATAGACTGGAAGGAGAACAGAGACATAGTTGGATGAGCTGGTTTTGTTTGACATATCTTATTGTTGTTTCAGTTACATTAGGGAGATGAGGCACTTCTTAATAATAGCTATGACTCTTCTGGCAGATTGGGGGCCTTCCAAATTTTCAGGCAATGAATTCGAGATTTTAGGGCCTTTTATGCCCATTGAGCTTTTGCATAGGTTGAGTTGGACACAGGGGATGTCATAGAGGGTTTGTGTGTCATGTGTTATGCCTGCTGTTGCAGCTAACAAGGTAAAATTTCAGTGTGTTTATATGAGAATTGTTTGTTCTCTCTCTATATATATATAGTAGGCACAGTAGTATGAGTGCTAATTTTGTATATTAAATATGTTCAAGCTTTTGAAGAATAGGAGAGTGTGTTACCTGGCACTGGAATGGGTGATTGTACTCACAGTGCCTTTTTGTTGGGTTATTAGTGATTTTAGGTGATTTGATGTAGTAAAAGTCTACAGTTATTTAACATTCTGCCCTGCCTTTCATAGCTCTGGCACTATGAAGGTATGAAGTACAGTGCCTTCATTATGAAGGACAGGTGGTGGTATGAAGTACAGTGCCTTCATTATGAAGGACAGGTGGTGGTATGAAGTACAGTTCCTTCATTATGAAGGACAGGTGGTGGTATGAAGTACAGTTCCTTCATTATGAAGGACAGGTGGTGGTATGAAGTACAGTTCCTTCATTATGAAGGACAGGTGGTGGTATGAAGTACAGTTCCTTCATTATGAAAGAGAGGTTTTAAAGTGAGTTTAGATAGTTATACAATGATTTTAGATAGTTTTATTGGGAGTTTATATAGTTTTACAGGAAGTTTACAAACAAAAAAAAAAAAAAGGTGGAAACATCCGTTGGAGATAATACAAATATTTGTACATTTTTATAGAGAGGACAATAACTACTACCATTCAGTTAAAACTGTAAGTACTGTATGCATAAAACATTATTTTATTGCATATTTTGATGATTCAGTGCAATATCAAGTATTTTCTGACAAACCTCAAGTTTTAGCTAAAATATGCAAACAGTTTGTATTCCCTGGAACACAGGCAAGAAAGATGCATGATAGTGTACACTTGGAA